GAATAATTTATAGGAATTTTGAAGGAAATATCACAAAGAAATCCTCTGTGATTCATGTCTAAGCTGTAGTGTTCCTGGTTCATTTAATTTACAGAGTTTAAAATGGGATTTATACTACGTGTGAGAGAAACATTTCATGCAGGTTTATACGTAACTTAAATGTGAAATTCTTCAGTACAAATCCCGTGGAGTACGATTCCTGAAAAAACGAAATGGGAGGAGCGTGATCAGATTGATTGTAGAGAAAATAAATAAAGTAATATGAATACTACAAAGTAGTTGTTTGAGGCACTATGCTAAAAGCCGGAAGGTCGCCGGATCGAATCCCGATGAAGTCATTGGATTTTTTTAATTGACCTAATCCTTCCAGTCGCAGAATGGCCCTGGGGTCTACTCAGCCTTTAACAGAAATGAGTACCAGGAATATTCTTGGAATGTTCTTGGGGGTAAAGGGCGGCCGGTGCGTAAGGCTGACAACCTCACCGCCATCTATGACCCGATTGTCTAGAAAATGTGGGACCCTCAATATATCACAACCCTATGGGTCTCCACGGCCTGTTACAGGGATACTTTTACTTTTACTTATCGAAATGGTTTAGTGGCTCCCTCTGCAGTCTAGTGGTCAGAGTTCCTAGCTACAGATCCAGAGGTTCGGGTTCGATTCCCGGCGCTACCAGATTTTTGAGAAGGATCCGTTGCGCTGACCACGCGACACCCTGTATCCACAAAAGTTGGCACAAATTTCGCCGACAAGCGGCGGTCGTTCAGTTCGTATAGTTTGCTTGCGGGCTAAGACCACGGAGTCAAAATATATTAGTTCCCTAGGCTCTTGAAACATGTGCTAGACTTATTTATTCCTCTGCAAGGTTTGATATTCTGACCAAACTACATGTACAATTGTAGCTGTAATTTTTCTATAAAAAACTGGTTAACTGATATACAAAGCTTGTTTTCTATTTGTCAGTGTGTCGCCGTAGAGCCCTTTGATTCTCATCCATCTTGGCTGTGGTGTTTGTCGATAACTCGTCGTCCTGAGCGGCAGGCGTAGCTGTCTATTGGTTTCTCCAGCCATCTCAGTGAAGTGCTTACCGCGACGAAGTGCCACAACCTTCGGAATATGAACTGAACTTGTCACAGCTGCTCCTTGTGATCGCAATCACGATTACGCGGAAACATTGCGTAGAACAAGTCACACGTGGGTTCCGCTTGTAGAGCAGCAGTGCAGATATGTTCAAAGCTGTAAAGTCAGTTACTGAAGATTTGCTTTAGATAATACAGGAAAAGGGTGGGGGCTTATAACTCCCTAGACCTCGTATTTTGAAATTTAAATCCCGAGTCGTGTCACATCGGTAGAGAACCCACTTGAGGGATGTATTGAAGTCTGACGTCTCTTTTCTATCCAGCCTACGGTTCTGACGCCTAGCATTTCTCTATTTCTTTTGAATGCATCAATCTTCATGATATGACATGTTCCGTAATGGATCTTATTGCCTTTTTCTTTTCTGTAAGGAATAATATTTTCCTGCCGGATTTGTGCGTTAGTAGCAGAACCTCGTCTCCAGTTCAAGCAGTGCACTATATCAAAATTGACACGCGAATATTTCATGTAATCTCTTTGAAAGGTTTCGACAAATTTACTTAGAGGAAGCAAAAGAATAGAGTTACAATAATAACTAGATTTTGAAGAGTATTATCTTCTGGGATACAACTACGTGTATGCAGCTGAAATACAGCCGACGTTTCGGAGGAACTTATCGCCTCGATCTTCAGGGTCGAAGAATAAGCCGAGCAAGAAACCAGCGTGAATACAGATGGTAGGCAGATGAAGGCGGTATGTTCGTCCGAAACGTCTGTTGACTTTCAGCCTACTATACGGTTTTATATCCCAGAAGTTAGAATTTTCTTTTAACTACTCGTTCTGCTGTGAGGACCATAAAACCTAAATAGAGTCTGCGTTTGCATCAGATATTGATGAAGTTTCACATCATGATATCTGAACTCGGCTTTACATATCCGATATTGGGTACTCGTACAATTTAAATTTTGAAGTTTCGAATGGAGTAAACAAAAATTATATTCACGGAGGTAGAATTCTAGGATTTTATAAAAATCAGCAATAAGTATTTGTGGGTAGAATTTTCCAATGTAACACGAACAATATGTCTTGTATAGATAGTGGTAAGTCATCTCAGTGGATCTGCATTCAAGATATTCCTCTGAGTAACATTTATGTTATACTGCATATATAAGGCAACTAACTAGGACGAATTGACGATTACGCAGGGGGAAGGGTTAATATAGTCATTTCTGTTTTCCTTAGCTTAACTAAGTATCTCATGGTTAAGTGGCTAACAAAAGAACTCTTTTAGCACCAACGACAGAATTATTTTTGCTGATACTTATTCTGGTCCTCTTAAAAGAAATATTATATTCTGTTTATTCCTAATTATATTGTCACGTGTAGGGGTGACTATTAGACGGGGTGTGAATTGGATTATTTGATTTATTGTACTTCTACGCACCACTCCGAACTCCAGGCAATTACAGCGCTATCGGTTGTCTACATCCTTTACAGTTCACCGTTTCTCACACCCTATTGTCTTTAGTCTGTTATTGACTCCAGTAACCGTTTCCTGGAAACTGATTTTAACACAGGTACTATAATAGTCTAAATGAATTACACAAAATATCGCGGTACTATACCTCACATAATGTATTCTCTTTTCAGCCTTACTTTCAACTCCACTGAACTGCATACAATACTCAATTCCTCAATTCCTCTACTCCCAAGCCCCTGGTAGGCTGGCGTTTAGAAACAAGACTGACTCAAATGATCTTTTTGTCCTGTTTATAACCCATTAGGCATGGACCATGCAGAAAACACAGCTTCACTATTGTTGAGGAACAGATTTTACCGCGCCGTTGCATAGAAACGATAGTTCTTTTGTTGCGTGCATGTTCTTTGCCGCAATAACATGTTTACCGAGTCGTTGCCTAGCATTGAACGCGTACTATGAATCCACTATTCCGGCTTTCAGACGTCATGCCACAATATTCTTTATTTTTGAAGTTTATAAACTAGTCTGCTAAGATTTGGAATTTTTCAGTCTCCAAAATTGTGTTTTCTGACTTACATTCCTCACCCATTTTCGTCAGTAGTTTAAGACTATTCTAAATAAAGAATTACGATGAATTTGAAATCCTTTATTTTAAACACTTTATATTAACATTGATGTTGTCCTTTCACACTTAAATTATATTGCATTTTAGTTATTAGTTATTTGAGCTAGGTTGTAACCCTTGTAAGGTGTAAATCTTAGTAAATCTTACTCGACTAATTTAAATATTTCTGTTGCTTTGAAACGACTGTTTTCAGGGGTGATAATAAAACGTAATAGTGTCACCCTCCTAGGCCCTGTGAAGAAAACGCGAAGAATTGTCTTGTTTAAATGTGACATTAAATTCAAAATGAAATTAAATTTATTTGTATTTATTAACATTTGTCAATAAATTAAGCCAAAGAAAATTAATTAAAATTTCTTTTGTGAGACAGGTTTCATTCCAGGAAACAGAACGTAAAGTGACGCTTTATCTCTCGGTTACATTCGGTAGAAGCGGGATCCATTCCCGAACTGACCTGGTAGTCTTTCCGACGTAAATGGGGTGTAGTTTTCAAAGGTATTCACAACTTAAGTATTCTTCTCGACGCTTTATCTCATATATGCAGATTAATTAATTAATTCCATGATTCTTAGAAACAGCGGCGTGCAGTAGGACATTATCGTATGCGTGTCTCTTTCGAAAGCAAAGGCCTTGAATAGGACCGAGTGACTATAGGAACAATTAGTATTCTTCCGCCGTTAGAAAATTTAGTATGCATTAAAGAGGAAATATGTACGCAGTCATGATATCAGTTTTTCTATTTAAAATACAATTATGAACATAGTACCAATGTTCGTTGCATCATGCTTGCAGACAATATAGGGGTCACTGAATCTCCATATTTTTTTAATTTCCCAAGGCATTATCATATCCTTTACGACGGCGGTTATTTGTAAAATGAAACAATTGAGGCTGTGTTTGTAGGCAGTTAACAATAATATTACGATATCCGTTGAAACTACTGAGTTTCCTTTTTATTCTATAATCGTAATTGTAAATTATTTCCCGTGCACTGGCAGACTATGTTTCACTGGGACACACATAATTTTATGTAGTGTGTAGAAATTGTGAGTATGATTTCTTTTAGGCTTTGAAAAGTTCTAAGGTAATAATAAGGTAAATGTACTATAATTTATGTTTAGTTTAAAGGTTTAGTGAATTTTCTTAAAGTAAAAGAATTTAAAATTCAATTGGATTTAGGGTACAGACTGAGACCAAGTATATTTGAGCCGGAATGCCCCAGCAAGAGTAGTGACTATCCAGGACGACAGGGGATTCAAGTCTCGATTTTTTTATTGCTAGTGAGGTGAGACTAACTCCCTTGTACTGCGGCCACTTCTGGCCTCTTGTACCAGCCCCAGATGATAGGTGAGGGTGATTGTGGAGCAATTGGTGGAATGAAGATTGCCAGGGGAAATCGAAGTACTCGGAGAATACCTGCCCCAGCGTCACCTTGTCCACCACAAATCCCACTTGACCAGACCCGGGATCGAACACGGGTTGCCGCGGTGGGAACCCAGCGACTAACCGCTTGAGCTATGGCGCGGCCAAAGTTTCGAATTACGACAGGGACAAGAGAGTTTTCTCTTCTCCACACCATCCAGGTCGGCTCTAGGGCATCGCTGGCTACTTCCCTGAGACTAAACCGGCAGATACGTGAAGCTAAGTACTCACCCACATCTAGGGTCAAGGTTAATAATGGTGGATCTAAACCTCCATTCTCTTATACGCCTTCGTCGCATGACAATTGGTTAAATACAGAGGCTTATCTTATATTACCTACATATTTTATGATAATTAGCAGTAAATTATTAGTTTTTATTTTAATTTCAGGTTGCAACTTGGAGCAGTGGTGCATCATGGGAGATTTCCCCACACGATGACGTCACACAATGTGCAGGGATAATGTGATGGAGGTAAGAAAAGAATTGTTAGCATTATACAAAACGTTCAGAGCGCCAACAGGGCACTGTCTTACGAGACAAGGTGTAATTTCACAGAGATCGTTGGATCATTCAGATTCCCCACCCCCTGTATAGAGTAAAATATCGTAAGAAATATAATCGTAATTATCATCGTCATCATCTTTATCATCGTCATCGTCATCATCATCATCGTCGTATAAAAAATTCGGGGAAAAAATAAAATTTACAGTAGAGTCCGCGTGATTTTTTACTGGTTTATTTGGCCGAACCAACAAATTTTATTTTAAAAGTTTTATTTTTTGTTTTGCTGAGGAAATGCGATTTAAGTTACTTAATTTTATGTCACATTTCCTTAATTTATTTCTGCTTTTCTCTTTGTGTTCATGCCAGCATATGACTTTTATGAAAACTGAGGTACGTGGCTTTCTTTATTTTAGTATTTAAATAATTTTCTTTATATTTAGAGATTTTAGATATTTTCTGTTGTGTCCAAAGTACGTGTGTTGCATGATTTCTTAAATGTACATTACTCTGCCCCAGAGTGTCAATATTATGGTATTTTCACATGCATGGGGGAGCGTGACTAAACTAAAGTGTTCTCGATCGGATGATTGGATATATTAAAACCTTCCTTTGAAATCACTTTAAGTATAGCCAATAGAGCGCTATCGCTGTACATGCACTAAGACTCTCTATCTTCATTACGCGTATCCTGGCAATGGATTTAACACCGAAACTAGCACCTCTTATCAGTATGAAGTCTTCCTATTATTTTGTGTCCTTGTACTGTTAACTGCAGTGCATTAATCTAAGCTACAGCAGATCGTTTTCATACAGGATCCGCACGGACCACACGGAAAACACACGTCACGTCATGTCACACATTAATTCTGAATATTTTGCACCTTTAAAATCTGTTTGTACCTCCTTTTCTTACACCTTCCATTAGCGCTATATATCCGTACATTTCATCCCTAATTAAATAACCTGGGTATTGTCTGGTGAAAGCTACAAATTGTGAAGATTCTCTTATTACGTCCATCTATTCTGCATGTCGGTCTTACAACGAACTGCGGAAATTCAATCTCTTCACAATATTTATACACATATGAGAGCATGATAACAGTCTTCTGGGATTTGGCACCGTGTATATGTGGTGTTAAGCAGACGCTTTTACCGGTTCTCACGGTCTCTCCGCTTGCAGAATTCTTATATTTTTTCTTCTACCCTGAAGATGGAGGCGATACGTTCCTCCGAAACGTCGGTTAACACCACATATACACGGTGCCAAATCCCAGAAGACTGCTTTCTTCATAGTCACCGCCGTGAAAGCCTCAAATCTTACATGATAAAAATGTTTTACTTGCTGTTCTCTAATGAGTGTGGTCCATCTGAAATGTTAAAAAGCTCATAAATCTGTTCGTTTTCCAGAGTCAGTCATTGGAAACCTTTTCTATGGACTATCCCCTTCATGATCAGTAACGCCAAAATATCCAAGGCTACTACAAGAAAAGAACAATAATCACGTGCGTTAATATATAAGATAAAATGTGTAAAAGCAAATTATGTCTGGAAACGACATGTTGCTACCCTCAGAGACACTGACATAGGTCTCAAGCGCAGAAGGGAGAAACGGTAGCCGTGGTACATGGTCCCTGAAATAAATGGCTAATATTCTTTTGATTGATTCCATGCCGGTCACGGTAGCTGAGTAGTCTAAGACATGCACTGCCTTCGCTCGTTTGGAAGCCGGGACCGTGAGTTCGAATCCAACTTGGAACATGGATGTTCAATGTTTGTGTGTGTGTGTACGTTCTTTCTGTATTTGTGTACAGGTAGAGAGGCCTTGAGACGAGCTGATCTCCCGCCCAAGGAGTCCCACCGAATGTCTAAGATCTAGTAAACAGAAGTAAAACGGAGAGTTTTATGGATGTACTCGTAGGCTAAGGCCCAAATTGGGGCTGTAGCGTCACAGGAAAGAAGGAGAAAGGCGTTCCATACGGTTAGAACCTGCCTGTGGTAACTTCAGAAACCTTCATATGATGTGTGGTTTTGTTTTGAATTAATTACGCTTATAAAGTTAACGTCTTTTATTTAACTTATTTGCAGAATGAAGACACCCTTTCTATTCGTACATGACGTTTTCGTGTTCATCTTTGAAATATTTAAATGGGATAAAGCTGTAGCCGTATATACCTCGCTAAAATTATTTAATTAAGGGCATGACCAATTTATGCAGTGTTTCACATCTGAGAGACGCTCCTTCGGCGAGATACCATCCCGGGATCGTCTAGTTGTAATTCAGCTATTGTCTTCCTTAGGCTTAGGGTGTCACCATTGTCCTTAACGTCGCCAGTTTGCTTCTAGTGTCGTAAATTCACGGGCTGACGTACAAGACCGGTAAGTAGGTATCTTGGGTTCCCTGCTCGTGTTCCTTGTAGACCTGAAGAATTTTATGATGTGCATCTCGAAAAATACGAATATAGGACAGATGCCGGGTTCGACCCTTGGCTTTCTTTCGTTTGCTTGTTTGATTTTTCTTGTTTTATGCACATTGGGGGATTTGTAAAGAAAAGGCAAGCAGTCGGCTACAGAGAGCGGAGGTGGACAGTTGAAAAGGTGGACGCAGAATAGGGAAGTGAGTTACAGGAGGGTAGGTAGCTAGTGGTGTGTAGGGTCAGCGAGCTGGTATTAGTGTAAAAAGGTTAAGAGTGACGGAGCGGCTAGCTTGAAGGACTTGTGTAAAGAGTGACAATAACTGTAAGCAGTTCTAACGTAAAGACCTGTAAATCATAATCCCTAAGTGTGTTCCCCTCCCGGTATCGGAAGCCCGTGTATCCCTGGGACAAAGGTCACATCCCGAACAATAGTCGTGGCAGCTGTACGTCGGAGGTCGGCTACAAAGCTTTAACCTGTTTTTACAGGAACTTAAGTTATCTTCGTGTTTTTCTCTGCTTTATGTATATTACGGAATATACTATTAAGAAAACATTCTTTCCCATAATTTTTTACGATTGCATCAAAACGCATAGAAAGAGTAGGAAATGAGATGAAATGCTTGCAAGGGACCAGCTGTTTAAGAATTTGTTCCTAAAATTGTTCACCTTGGGGTAGCTTCGTAAGTGGGGACAATTTCAGAACGGAGGTTGCTCTTCAATTGTTTTCTAAATGCTCGTTTCTATTCCAAACCAGCGAAGCGAATGTTATTTATATATCTTTACGCCGTTTAAGTCGGGAGTCTGGAATTGCGAGATTACGTATCCTTCTCCTTGACTCCAGCTGGGACTGCGTGTATTTTTGTAATCCACCAAACGCTCGTACTACTAGATGTTCGAAGTATAGTGTCTGTTGTTTGTATTCATCCGCGACAATGCACATCAGAGACTATATTTTCCCTGTCTCTCTTTTCTTTACTTAGTCCTTGTAGGCGGAAGAAGAGGACGACTTTGACCCATCGCGTAGCTACCAGCTATACACTGCTACCAACCCCATTAAAATGGAAATTTCGGGGTGCAGAAGCATTGGGAGAAGGGTGTGTGTATTATCAAGGGATGAGGAACTAAGAGGAGAGGAAGAGAAGGAGTGACTCGATCGTGTATAAAGGAAGGGAATCGGGGGTTGAAATGTCCGGACCACCACCGCACTCTCTTTCTCTCTCCCTCTAATACCGCTCGTCCATCCAGCTTCCCGAATTCTAGTTCAGTGAACCATAAGCACTGCTCTTCGTCGCTAGGCCTCGTCTGTCTGTAGCGATGATTGGTTGTACCCAAGGGCAACCAAATGAAAACTGTTGTGACGAAAGTAGTTTTGAAACACCTTCTAGTGTTTTAGTAATTTCAGTAGTAAAGGACACGTAACATATGTATTACCGTATTTACGCATGTATAGGCCGCACATTTTTTGCCAAAAATTCAAGAGGAAAACTGGGGTGCGGCTTATATTCGAAATATTCGAAATCACACTTCATTTAAAAAAAATATATATATTCGTAATTAGTAATACAGGGTGTAATACTCCTGAAATAATATTCCAAGAAAATTATTTTTTCTATAATTTCTGTCTGAAAATTGTGCTGCGGCCTATACATGCGTAAATACGGTATTACCGAATACCACTTACAGCACTTACATTCTGCGTCCATCTTTTCCAAAGAAATCTTTAAAATTGTTTCAGATATCGTAATATTCATCTTTAAATTAATAAAAGTGATATGGGGATTCGTTGCGCTGATCACGCGACACCCTCTATCAGCTAAAGTTGGCACTAACTTCATCGACAAGCGGCGGTCGCTCGGTCGCTTGTGGAATAACAGTGCACCACTGTTTTGACAACTGAGCTTCACTTCCATTTGGCGATGAAACTGGAAATGTGTCTATTTCCATTTCGCCCTCAGCTGCACAGGCTTGCCTCACCACAGTGGGGGAAATGAGTGCCCTCTCTTTAGGCACAACCAACAACACATACTAAGTCAATCAGTTCAGGCTCCTAATGCAAACAGTTCGTCTCTGAACGACATGTTGACGGTAGTCGCAACGACATTTCTATACATCATGACAGAGCACAATGGGGCCGAGTCAGAAGAAGACTGAATATTGACCAACGCGAAAATTGTATTAAAACTCGTAAAGCAAAATGACCACTAGAATTATTAGGTGGTAAATATGACTGCGCTGACGATGGCCAGCAGAGTTGTAAACGACGGACCCGTCTTCTCGTCAGAGAGGAATTCTCACGTCAACAAACCCGAAACTGTCTGAGAGAACTGCTAGAAATGGGGTAAAATCTGCTATACTGACCCTGAACTGACTGAGGCTCTGTATGTGCTGCACGTATATACATTTTTAACACCGTTAACATGTAAAATATAAATATTTTTACATTATGGAAAATCACAGCCTCATCTCATCTACAGGATCATCTAATCCTCATAGAAGCATGGTTAAGCAAATGGAAAATCAAGGTAAACGAATCAAAGTCCACACAAACAACTT